TGATGGACCTCTGCTCCATGTGCTTATCTAATTCCCTCTTGAAGCCGTCCATGCTTGTAGCCACTCTTCATGGGCCCCTCCTCCTCCTCCTCCTCCTCCTCCTCCTGGGACCCGCCGTCAGCTGCCAGTTTCCCCGGTGCCCCAAGCCAAACCTCTGGGGCTGTGCATGGGACGTCGGTGGCAGACACCGCATGGAGGAATACCCTGCTACCAGGCTCTCTCTGGTGCTCGGCAGGACAGGAGCTGGGCTCTTCTTCCAGGTGGAGCACAGCCCGGAGAAGTTGGGAAGGGAGTGTGTGTGTGGGGGTTCTGCCTCTGGCCCTGCCCCAGCCCCCCACCGGAAATGGGAAAGTCTGCGCCCTTGAGTTAGAATCACCTGGCAAGTGCCAACAAGCTATTTGGAATGAAGAAGAAGGAATCTCAGAGCGGCTTACAATCTCCTTTCCCTCCCCCTCCCCACAACAGACACCCTGTGAGGTAGGTGGGGCTGGGAGAGCTCTTTTAAGAACTGCTGTGAGAGAATAGCTCTGAGAGAACTTGTAACTGACCCAAGGTCACACCAGCTGCTGCATGTGGCAGAATGAGGAGTCAAACCCGGTTCTCCCAAATTAGAGTCCATGCTCCTAACCCCTACACCAAAGGGCAAAGTCCACTGTAATATAAAAACAGAACTTACCCCTAATGCTTCAGCTAATGGGTGAGCCCATCTTTGTCACTGAAATTATAGTCATGCACCCCAGTGAATCAAATGTTGGCCGACAGTCTCTCCCTTCCCTCATTATTCAAGTGAAACTATTCCCCAGTCCTCCAGGAACAAGGTTTTGGAGAAATCAAAGTGAAATATAGGAAGTACGAAAAGAAATTGGCAAAAAGTGTCCCTTTAGGATGAACAAAGTGCATTACTCCTGAAGAAAACAACTTTTGGGCCCAACCCAATGAATTCCTTTTCAGGGCTATTTTTGGGCAGGAACGCACAGGAACGGAGTTCCGGCTGGCTCCCACATTGGCCACGCCCAGCAGGAACTCAGTAGCATATAGGCCATACCCAACAGCAGAAACTCATTAGGATTGGCTACATTCGGGGTGTGTGGCCTAACATGCAAAGGAGTTCCTGCTACAAAAAAAGCCCTGGGTTTTGACAACAAACAAGGTAAACAGAATAACAAGCAAAAGGTGGGTGTGACTGGATGACCACACTTCTGGTAACATGGGGGTGCGGCCTAATGTGCTAATGAGCTGTGCTGTCAGGGGTGTGGCCTAATATGCTAATGAGTTCCTGCTGTTGGGTGTGGCCTATTATGCTAATGAGTTTCTGCTGGGCTTTTTCTACAAAAAGAGCCCTGCTTTATATAATTAACTTTGAATTACCAATCCCATCAGA